TTCTGTATTCATGTATTCTTGCTACGTGACTCGCTTCCCCATTTGATCCCAATTTTATCAATTTTACCTGAACAATTCTTATTGGCTGACCATAGTTTTGTCCATTTTTTCCCCTACCTTGGACCCACCTCACCTCGTGGTTTTGCTCCACAAAAGTCCCTAGAAAAGACACAGTCCTGCGTAACCCACTCGGGCCTCCCTTCTGTCCCTCTCTTGGACAGAAGCTTTGTTTCCCTCAATAAATATATTCTGCTCTTAACCTCCATTGTTCCTAAAATTCATTCTTCAATCTGTGATGAACTCATCCCAGATATCATTCAGGTTGAGAGTTTTTATTTTCCTGTATTACTTTTAGGGTCCAGATTTTTCCAGGAGGGTTAATCAGAGGAAAGAGGAGAAAGAGTCCAGGTTAACAGACAAACAAAATTAGTTTTCCCAGGGTCATACTAGGTACAGCGTTTCATGATCTTTATCATTAACCGTTATCAGAACCAACCAGGCAAAAGTTAGAGGTTGGGGGAACAGAAAGATGATGTGAGAGATAAGCCCGCCTTCCCCTTGGGATCTTAGTTAATAACTGATCTTTGTGTAATGATTTACACGATGTTTCTGCATTGCAAATCCATAGGCTCTGAACACAATCCTACTTGTTCAGTAGGCAAAGCAGGTGTTATATTGGATCATTTAATAGGTGAGCAAGAGGAGCTGAGAGCTCAGGGAGTAACCAGAAGTCACAAGGTAGGCAAGCTCTTGGCTCTTGATCATACACTTTTTCTTAATTCACACCACCTGCCTGACTCTGGCTGAGAAGCTGTCCACACACAAGAAAAAATACAACTAACATTATAATGGCATGGTGAGCGCCAGGCTTGGTGTTACAAACAAGAACTGTTACTGGAGGTCAGAGAAAGGCTAACAGATCTTCCAGGTGCTTGGATCAATTCAAGCCCAGCCTTCAGCCAGTCTTAAGCGAGTCTGTCCTCATGGGGTCTTTGGAGCCAGGTCTCTGGTTCAGCCTGCGTCGCAACCTCAGAACCCCCTTTAAACTCTCTTCATGGGTGAAATTGGATTTTCTACATATGTCTATTATTTAGCAGGAATGTCCCTCCATGGTAACCTAATACCTTTACCCTATTAAAGTGCACATACCTCAAAAGACCCATAAGGCAAGTATTTCTCAAACAACTCTGGCCCAGAAGCAAAAGCCCTGTTTCCACTCATACATTTTAGCAGGGGTCCCCTCTGTATTCTAAGATGTCATGTATGACTTTTATCTCCTATTCACAATAGACACATTTTTGTTTTAATACCAAAGTCTAACTTCACATTCTCAAATTTGTTTTGTTTTGTTTTGGAGGGTTGTTAGTTTGAGACAGGATCTCACTATGTAGTTCAGGCTGGCCTTGCCTTGAACTTACTGTGTAGTCCAGGATGGCTTCGAACTTGCAGCAATCCTCCTGCCTCAGCCTCCCAAGTGCTGGGATTACAGGTGTGCGCCACCATGGCCAGCATCCCATTCTCAAATATGTGAGCAGAGTTATTGTTCTAGAAGGAAGAGCATCCTGCACTTGGTGGCACACCCCTGTAAACCCTGTGGGTAGCTACACCCCAGTTTGAGAAGCAGTCTATGGGAATTTCAGGCCTGCAACTAGATTCTTCCTGCCCTCACCTATTCTTGCACATAAATGAGTTTGAACCCAACCCAGTAGTATGATCTATTCTCATTAAATACTATTCTGTGTACACTCTGCCCTCATAGTCAAATTTATGAAAAGTTGGTCTTATTCACAAAGACATTCTGAAAGGAAGGACAATAAAGATATAAAGATATAAGAGGAATATTCATAGGTAGCTGTAAAAAGTACAGAGATCTTAAGAAAAATCTTGGATACAGACCTGCCAGCTACAACAAAGCAAAAATGAAAAACGGGTCATTTTACAAAGCAACATCTTAGGCTCAATACGGTTAAATGACTTGGTTAAGGTCATCACCAGTTTATAGAAAATTCAGGCGAAAAACCCATATCACAGTCTGCTTAGTCCAGAATGTATAGATGATGCAGGAGTGAAAGCTAATCCTGTAAATAAATATCTACATTTCCTAAAGAAAAATGTAAATGACAGGCCATGGAGTGGAAAAAGTAAGGGATGAAGTTAAATGGAGGCCAAAACTGCAAGTATGGTCGCATACATGGGAAGATAAACAGTCAAAGTGGCGGGGTCCTGTAGATACAGGGTGGAGCGTCTAAATGGAACCATTTGGAGCCATGTAAACTGGGACTGACTTCATTACGGCCTCCCTCATGGGACAGAACCGCATGTCAAAACTATTTGCTTTAGTCTCTTGACAGATGTGTTTTCTTCACTAGTCTCCACGAGGAGTATGAGAAGGGTTGCGGGGGTAATCCGGGGGTCGTCAGGCAGTGGAGTGAAGTTGGGGGATGGATGGGAACACCGCTACAAATCTTTAGGGACAGGAGTTTCAACACAGAGGACAAAGAAGATTCTAGGGACTGTATTAGGGACTGTATTTACTCCCTTCTTTGCATAATTTTTTTTTGAGACCCCGTCTCCTTACGTAGTTCAGACTGACCTTGAGCTCGGAGGCGATCCTCCTGCCTCAGCCTCCCAATTTGGTGTTGGAATTACAGGCATGCACCATCATTTCTTTGCATAATTAACCCTTGTGGAAATACCTGTCTGTCCTAGGAGAAAAGGAAGGTCCTCCGGGCCCTGCGACACTGAGGTCCCCCGTCCCCGATCCGGAAGGTGGCAGTAGGGGGCAGTGGCACCACGGAAGAAATCTCAGCTGCAGGAGTTTTTCTCTCTGCAGAGCAACCCAAGGTCAGCAGCAGCCGAAATCCACAAAAACTGACTTTAAAAGTCCTCCTAAGAGCTGCATCTTTCCAGTCCCCAAAACAATCGCTCCTTGTGCCCCAGGACACGGCGTGCGTTACACACTTAAAGCAGTTTCCACAGAACCGCATTCAGTTGGGTTTAAGCTCTGGGGAAAACTGGCAGCCTCTTTGTGAGTTTTTGAAAAAATTAGTTAGAGGGACAATTAAACCTTTATGGGCCCCAGAATGTACCTATGCAGACATAAATAAGGATCAGTCTTCATCACCGGAGAATCCGCTTTCTGGCAGCAGATATATTTTTCTGCCATCGCAGTGCAGAGTTGAGCTCACGTCTGAGACCATTTTGATTAGGGCAGGTGACAGGGGTCAGGCTGTGCAGTCAGAACTTTGACCCGCGGGTAGGCACGGGCTCCCTCTCAAAATGGACACATCA